AGCCTGTAGTAACCAAGCTGAGATTTTCCCAGACACTTCACTTAAAGACACATTGGTTAAGATAAAACCTAAAACAAGTTTATTCACTACAAAAGGTAGATTTTAAGTGATAGCAACCAGACCAAAGCAGATTACTGCGCAAATAAACAAAAAACCATAAACTAAGCCTAATATAGTAGATAAGATTTGAATTAGCAATTTTTCACCTTGACTGATGATACAAGCAGTCCACCAAGTTTCCACAAAGAGGCTAGAAATCCCTTTAGCCTGGGACCAGCAGTTCCCCCAGTTTCGTCTTTGTTACTTAGGAGTTCTCTTGTGAGGGGAGTGAGGTTAGGAGATGATGTCACTCCTCACCGAGCTTTTCCATATGGTGGGAACTCTTTGTTTCAAGATAAGTTCCCGGTCCAGTTTGTGGAAAAATATAGGTACCAAAATGGAGTTCAGTGTCATGTAGTCTGGTCACATGCCCTTGTATGCCTTGCTGAGTCATAGCAGCCTTTACTCGTAGTCGGGCTGAAACTTTTCACAGGGAGACTAAACTCTTCCATGGTCCATTGTCTTTGTTGATGAGCCATTAGCACTGTCAAGCTTCGTCAGTGTTGTACCTGAAAGGCTAGTTGAGGGTTTTGCTCACAATAAGCACATTTGAAATAGAGATACGTAGTCAATATACATAACTTCAGATACAAAAATGATACATGTACACAAATATGATGATCATATTTGACAAATCATAACTTTTCCAATGACACCTCATATGACCCATCTTGTAAAAAATGCATCATAATTATGCTATAATCATATCACTATGATGAATATGGAGTTGCAGTGTTACACTGTACATCTGAAACTTTATAAAAGTTCAGTTAAGAAACCAAATGTAATTTACAGGACATTTCCCTCTATCTTATTGTCCTAACCTTGTGGACTAAATATCTAACCCAATCTTCCTTATTCCCTACGGTGATGGGGTGTTCACCCCATGCTAGCCTAGAAGAAGTTAATGAGGTTGAGAAGGGGCCAGTTAACTGGCTAGGCCACCTCAGAGGGGAATTAGGTGGCGAAGTAACCCCAGATTGATGATGGAGCCCAGCTGAGAAAGAACAGGTAGGGCTACAATACACCAGGAAGCTGGCAGCAGAAAGGGACTGTAGTGAAGAATCCTGTGGCCACTCTCTGACTGTTAGCAAGGGAAGGAAGGAAACCCTGGGGAGAGTAGAAAGCCCAGGGCTCCAGGCCATGAAGGAAGGGTTTACCCAGAATTGTGCTGGAGCAAAAGCCTGAGAGAGGTATGGAGTAGAAAAAGATTTAGGAAAATGGTAGCAAGGTGGGACATTGTGGACCTTGGCTGCTGATTAGAGGGTCCCTGTGCCAGAATCTGAAGTAGAGGTTGGGCCCGGTTTCCCCTGGTAGTCACTGGAGAAGTGGCACAGTCTGGGCAGTGAATTGGAAGACTGCTGGAGACTGTTTGGATGGAGACACTTTGATAACCCCCCGGAAGGGGAGAACTTTGTGACATGGATGGAGGGCCAAGCCATGAAGGGAGAGCACGCTGAGTTGCAGAGTAAGAGTGAGGCATCAGGTACCCAAATGAGCGATGAAAGGGGGCATCGGACCTGGAAGGAGCTATGCTTCAGAACTGCCAGGAGAAGGCACCCTAGCAGTGAGTTGGCCCTGCAACATCTAGATTCTCCCTTGCTCCTTACTTTTGAAGGGACACATGCTATTCCACTTTACCCTATCATCACTTCTATCAGTCCATGTACTAAGATACATATAGGTCAAACCCTAAGGTTCTTGTTTGGTTCATTGTCCTTATTCAAGCAAAACACCCATTCACTTCAAGTGATACTTTGAGTAAAGACTTTAGGATCTGGCCCATGCGCAAAGCACAAGCCGCCATGTCCTATTCATTGTCGACTGTTCTCAAGTCACTTCCTTGTTGTTTAAATCAGGATTCAAAATTTCTCAGCTAATGCTCCATCTAGTTGCCATGACAATGTTTCATGCATTTGTGACTGCCCTTGAGATCTCTGGAATCTAGGTGAATAAACAGGTTAAGCCCTTTTTGAGTCTGAGTGGATTTCCCCATGCTTTCTTTTCCTGTAAAGAAGACTTTTTAGCAGCTATCACCCTCTGCCTGATGAGTGAGCTAGTGCCAAGTCTTTACAGGTAATTCACAAAATTCCAATATCTAAAGATAAAATGCTTTGCCCTCACACTGGATTTTTGCCTACGTTTTTTTCAGAATGCTGGCTTCATCAAGGAGAAGTTGCCTTCTGTGAACCAGATGTTAAGCTTAGTTTTAATACTGAGGAATCGGTTTTTAAAAATTTCCATATATTTTCATCATCTACAAGAAAAAGTCCAATGAGGATCTGCTATCTAGCCAATAACTATTGAAAAGAATTGTGCAATAGATCATCCCTTGTTATTTATTTAGTATTTATACTACCCTAACCTTAGTCATGGTCCAGGACCCCATTGTGCTAGGCACTGTACAAACAGCACAAAAAGATGGTCCTTGCCCCACAGAGCTTATAATCTAAGCATAAGACAAGAAACAACAGATGAATCCAGAGAGATGGGAGAGTACAAGGAAACAATGAGACAGTGTTGGTCAGCATGATAGGTAGTGATCTCTGCAGCCTCGCCACAGCCAAGTTTTTGTGGGCAACACAGCAAGGAAGGATTTGGGGAAGGCTTCAGAGGAGGAGGGTGAGGTAACTTTGTGGATGTTTACGGGAAGTGAAGTGCAGCATGCCAGAAAGCATGAAGGTGTGTGTTTGAAAATTTAACAAGTGGGCAGGGAAGGCTGGTATCATGGGCCAATCGGAGGGGAGTATCAACAGCTCGATAGCAAATGAGAATGCCTTGAAAGTGAAGGCAATCGGTGTATTTGTTGATATGACAGTGCAGAGGGAGCCAGTGGAAGCATTCAAAGAGAGGGTGACATGGTCAAAGTAACAGGATAGGAAAATGATCTTCGCAGCAGCATTCTGAATGGAGATAAGCAGGGAAAGATTGCATTTGTCAAAGTCAGAGAGAGAGATATTGCACCTCTTAATTGTGCCTTTTCGAGAGAACCTAGATGCCCTTTCCACTATAGCCAGGGCTGCCTCTAAGGCTTGTTGGATTCATAGCCACTTATATAAAATATGTAAGACAGCTACTATATTCAGGTAGATCAGAGGAGAGGTCAGATGCTCACCTCAGTGCAGCAGCACTCCAGTGTACTTTAAACTGTAGTATTCTCTAGACCAGTGATACTCAATTAGATCTACCGTGGGCCGATTTGAGAATTTTATGACAAGAGGCAGGTCATTTGCTCAGAAGGCTGATGCCAAAAAACCCCAACTTCAGCTGCCGATAAATAAAAACCTTGATTGCAACATAAGTATTAGTGTTTCTATTTTTAATAAAGTTCATAAATCAACATTACCACCTTGTTAGTGGCAATCTCTAATGGGAGAGGCGTCATCAACGATCTCTAGCAAGCTTTGTGAAGAGTGGTTTGTAGGAGGTCAGGGCAAGGTGCATGCACTGGTGAAGATGCTCATCTGTCAGGTGATTGTGGTTTTGGTTTTTTATAATGTTCATGGTAGAAAACCCAGATTCGCAGAGGTATGTTGATCTGAACATGTTAAAAGATAGATGGGTAGATTTTGGCTATCCTGAAACTGGTCAGCATATTGAGTCCAGAAATCACAAAGTCCCATTTCTCTGAATTTTGCCTTCAAGACATCTGAAATCTGAAACCTTACCATTTCTAGTTGAAAGGCACCTTCCTCAATTGAATCCAAATAATGTTTGCTTCAGAAGGGCAAGGTCCATTGGCAGAGACAACAAATGGATCACAAAAATAAAAGCAAATCCTTTCGAATGTTAAAATTCTCAAATCACATTTTAAAATTTTCAGTCATATTGTTTAGGAATTCTTGCATTGTTTTCATCAACGTTTCATCTGTAGCAACAACGGACCCTCTTTCGTTACAAATTAAGCACTGCCAGTTACGAAGGAAGTCATAGGCAAATGATAGGCAGCGAATCGCGGTTTGTGAATTTAATTATAAACATTTTTAAGGTGAGCTGGCAGGTCACACAGGATGCCTTCATGGGCCACATTTGGCCCGCGGGCCACCTATTGAGTATGTCTACTCTAGTCCTTAGGTTCTGTATGCCCAGCTAATCCTGCAAGATGCTGAACAGCCTCAGACTTGATGTCTTGCAGGAGCATGCAATACGTTGCAGGAATGGACCCCAGAAGTGGGGATGTATATTCTGCATGGAGAAACACTTCTCAGTAACTGGAGTTCTTAAAAAGATTGCCCCCACAGATCCACATTCTGCATCCCTGCTTGATTTTGGAGTAGCTGCTCTAGTCAGGAACCAAAGAAGCTGGAGCAATGTACCTCTCTTCATCAACAGAGGCATGATGCCTTAAGGTGCATGTATCAAATGCACATGGTCCTACCTTTGGCCTGCTGTCTAAAGGGCTTCAGGTCCACATTGCTTGGAATCCAAAAAGTGGAGACCTTTGGAAACTCCAGTTAGTGGTAAACACTGCAAGCTAATATTTAATATTTCTTAAAATCTAAATTAGTTTAATCACCTTTCAAGAAAAAGTGAAAGTGTTTTTATTTAAAAAAAAATCTGAAAACAATAAGATGGTTAACGGCAGATAGAGAACTATTCCTATGTACATGTACTTTTCACAGCTCTGCCAGCCCTGTTTGATGCTAGCCTGCACTTATCAAAAACTAACCTTTATTACAAAAATGAAGGTTAAATAAACAAACTGGTCCCTGAATTAATTAATCAAAACATGTGACTTGTGCAGACTGTCTCGAGTACCAAAATAGAAGTCAGGGCTCAGCATGTGACTACTCACTTTACCTTCCCAAAGACATTTCACTGAGTACCAGACAGCAGCTGCAGCTAAAAATAAAGAATGATAAGCAACCAGAACCTTAGTTAAACACAGAAGCCACCCTCAATGCCGGAAAGAAATCAAAGGCAACAATGAAGTCGCTGCGGTTCATTAGTGCTGAGGCTTTGGTATCGAATGCGCAGCTTGCCAGGAAAAGTCTCAGCAGTGTTGCACATAATCTTTTTCCTCTTCTTTTTAAAGCCAGTTATTTACTGGAGCAGGGAGAAGTGATTCATGACCTGGTGGAAAACTGGCCCCTGGCAGACTTTAATATAGGAAAACTGTTAGGGACAACAGTGGATTACCAGGAAGACCTCAGCAGCAGAGCATGCTGTGTTTGTTTGGAAAGTTGTCTAGTTGGGCTGAGAGATTATGTGTTGAATTGCTCTTCTCCATACTCAAAGAGACTGAAAGTGGTGGACCTGACAGGCATAAAAGATGTTGAAGTTCAGGTCTGCAAGTGTAAGAAGACTCTGGGAAGGTGGGCCAGGACAGAGCTACTATCAAAGCTCTCTTTTGAGCTGCTTGTTGAAATGCAAAGGCTGCAGTTCAATCCATGTATCTTTGATATCGCTATTGACGTTCTCATTGACCTGTTTGTTACAGAGCGGAACTATGAACTTGTGGTCCAAGCCTTACTGATGAGATGCCACTGTCCACTAAAGATTCGTTGTGTGGCATTCAGAGCTGACAGTCTCACTTTACGAAAGCTTTTCTACATCATAAAGCTCACAGATCCCTCTTCACTGCGCAAACTTGAAGTGGTTCACAATATTCGTTTGGAAATGGAGCACTTGGAAGTGCTGTTTAATAACATCCACTTTCCTCTACTGACATCGCTTACCCTGCCGGCCAGAGCATTCAATGTGCAGCGGTTTACAGCCGAGGATGAACCAATCTTTATGACTATTGGAGAAAAGATGAGCCAAATGACGCAGCTGACTGAGCTGAGCCTGGCATTTTCTATCCTCACAGGAAAAATACGGAAACTGCTCAGGTAAGTTGTTCCCAACAGTGTGACTGAAAGTGTGATGAGCCACTCGTCAGTGCAGTGGCACTGAATTAAAGGTTGCCAAGGCTAACAAAAAGGGGCGGGGTGAATAATGGAAATATTTTCATTGGGAAGTCCATGGAGATGTTTGCAGCAAGCCATCAGGAATACTGATTAGACAATAAGCTAATGATGACTAACTCACCTGCAGAAACCAGACTGTAAATTTCCTACAATCCCATGTCTATGGTGCTTTTATGTGGCGAGAGGGATACTAAGGGCAGCTCTACACTATGGGGTTAAGTTGATCTAAGTTACGCAACTCCAGCTATGTGAATAACGTAGCTGGAGTCGACGTACTTTAGGTCAACTTATTGCCATGTCTACACTGCGCTGGGTCGACAGGAGAAACTCTCCCATCAACTTACCTTATGCTTCTTGTTCTGGTGGAGTACCAGAGTCGACGGGAGAGCCATCGGCAGTTGATTTAGTGGGTCTTCACTAGACCCGTTAAATTGACCCCCCGGTGGATCGATCGCCGCAGCGTTGATCCACCGGTAAGTGGAGACAAGCCCTACGATGTAGTCTGATACCATCTAATGCTTCTCAATGGGTCTGTGTATCTTAAGGCCAGGGAGATCCAATGCTATATCTAAACTGGAATTTGGGTTAACACAACTAGCCACACTGAATACACAGAAAAATCCAGTAATTCTCAACGTCAGGGGAAAAAGGTGTCAATAAAGAGCACTGTTATTTTTGAATGACCTGAAACAACAGTTTATTGTGTTCTCTTTAAAGAGCTAATTTTACAGTGGAGCAAATAACTTAGTGACATGCTGAACTATTCTAATGTCAGTGAGATAATGTGTGGCCCACAGCCCAGCTGTGACCGCTAGGCCAGACCATCTACGCTCCAGTCCCTTGTGCCATGTAGACATTCCAACTCAGGCTGGAGCTCAGTCTCTGAAACACAGCAAGGAGAGTGAGTCTCAGAGCGCAGGCTCCAGCCTAAGCGAGAACATCTGCGCTATGTTTAGCCCTTTAGCGTGAGCCCTGCAAACCTGAGTCAGTTAACATGGGCTCTGAGACTTGCTGCCGTGGGATTCATAGATTCACAGATATTTAGGTCAGAAGGGACCATTATGATCATCTAGTCTGACCTCCTGCACAACGCAGGCCACAGAATTTCACCCATCACTCCTGCAAAAAACCTCACTCCTATATCTGTGCTATTGAAGTCCTCAAATCGTAGTTTAAAGACTTCAAGGAGCAGAGAATCCTCCAGCAAGTGAACCGTGCCCCATGCTACAGAGGAAGGCGAAAAACCTCCAGGGCCTCTTCCAATCTGCCCTGGAGGAAAATTCCTTCCCGACCCCAAATTTTTTGTTGTTGCAGTGTTTGCATACCCTAAGGCACTTCTGAAAAACCCCACCCTTAGGCATCTAAATAGGGACTTAGGAGCCTAATTTTAAGCTCCTAGTTTTGAAAATATGGGCCACTATCTTTTTTTTTAATTGAAAATTGAGAAAATCTGCACCACTTTGTAGTCCTCATTCATTAACATTTTTGTTTCACTGTGGCCTTTATGCTGCCAAAAAAGCAGTGAAGCAGCATAACACTGAGGGATCATATCAGAGGGAAATTCCATCCCATATAGGTAAGATGTGTTTCATATACTTACTATAGACTTTTTGGGCTTTGACGGTACTGTCAGGCCCCATGGGTTTTGAACCCTGGAACCACAGATGTGCTGCAAGTCATCACACCCCAGGCCATCATGCAGCCGTTCACAGCAGCTGGGACCAGCATTCATGAAGCCCAACTGGGGCATAAACCCTGCCCCTCTACTCTTGATTGGGAGAGGTTCAAGGCTCCTCACTGGGCCACAGCCCTTATTTAAGCCAGAGAAGGGAACAGGGAGTCGTTCATACAACTGGGCTCCACCCTGTCACAGACCACTGTGCCTATTGTCTGGTTCTGACCTTTCTCTGCCGCAGAAATTCTGCCTGACAAACCAGCTGCCATCGACAGGGAACCACACGATATCCGGTATGGGATCATGTTTGTGCATAACTGCATTTACATTCCCCCGGCTCAGGCAAGAGTGTCAGCCTTAGAGCTATATCACAACTCCCCCACCCCAATGGAAGAACACTTGACTTACTTTAAAGCTCAGCGAATGCACACCATAAAACAGTCCTTCATCATGTCCTGCAATATGTGTTCTAGAGCCAGAACACCACATCACATGCTCTGCAGTCTACTTCAACCTCTAGACACCCTGTCCTGACTCTAGGCTGCTATTGCATTGGATTTTCTTGTGGAGCTCCCAGAGTCTTAACAGGTTTACAATAATCTTGATGGTGGCAGACCACCAAAATGGCCCACTTCATGTCCTGTACTGGTCTACCCTCTGCTGAAGGGACAGCCCAGCTATGGACTAGCCATGTGGTCCATCTCCATGGCCTACTGGATCAAGTCACTTCCAATAAAGGGTCACAATTTACAGCCTGATTCTGGCACAAGGCCTTGCGTCTCCTGCGGGTCCAGCTGCGCTTCTACCTACCAACCTCAGTCCAGTGGACAGACAGAAAGGGTCAGTCAGATTTTAGATTGTTACATTAATCACCACCAAGATGATTGGTCCTTGCTATTACCCTACATAGAGACACAGAGTTCGCATACCATAACACAGATCGCGCCTCCATAGGTAAAAGCCCCTTTCTTTACCAGCTATGGGAACCAGAGCTACCTATGAGCCTCTTCTAACCCACCCACCTTGGACTTAGTGCAGAGAATTCATCAAATCCAGAAAGAAATAAGGGGAAACCTGGAAAAAGTGAAAGCCAACTACAAGCAACATGCAAACCAATATTGGCAACTAGGAACCCATGTTCAGTGGGACAAAAAGTGTGGCCCTTGACAGAGCACCTCAGCATGAACAGATCCATGTGCAAGTTCCTTGCTGTTATCGAATCTGTTGCCAAGTTAACCTGGTCACTGTTGAACTACACTTACCCCAATCTCTCAAAATCCACGCAGAATTCTATATATCGATCCTAAACCCATATACCAAAAATTCAGCTCCCCACAGGACCCAACCGCTTCATGCACAAGGCCTTGAGGAATATGTCACATATGAGATCTTGGATTCCGAATGCCAGTGGGGTAAACTTTTACACCTGATTAACTGGGAAGGCTATGGCCCTGAGGAGTGTATGTGGGAACTAGCAGAAAACTTTCATGCTCCTGCCCAAATACAAGCCTTCTAAGAAAATCAATCCTAGAATCCTGGACCCATAGCACCAGAGAACACCCCTGGGGTTCATTAGGGTTCTAGGGGTCACCACACTTATAGGTGCCGACTCCATGAGTGCTCCAGGGCTGCCGGTGGGTGCTAAGCACCCACCGGCAGCCAAGCTCCTTCTCTCCTCCCCACTCCTGCCTACCTGGGGCCCCCACTGATCAACTCCTCTCTCTCCCTCCCAGCACCTCCTGCACACTGCATAAGAGCTGTTCAGTGGCATGCAGGAGGTGTTGGAAGGGAGGGGGAGGAGCGGGGATGGGCGCGCTCTGGGGAGGCAGCAGGAAGAGGCGGGGCAGGGTGGGGTGGGGCCTTGGGGGAAGGGGTGGAGTGGGGGTGGGGCTGGGGTGAAGCATGGGTGGGAAGAGACAGGGCAGGGGTGGGAGCTTGGGGGAAGGGGGCATGTGGGGGCAGGGCCTGAGGTGGAGCAGGAGTTGAGCAACTCTGGGGAAAATCAGAAGCCAGCGCCTATGATCACACTCCAATCTTCCACCTGGCAGCTCACAGACAGCAGCACAAGCACCACCCCTCCACTCTGATTGGGGGAGCTTTAAATCTCCTCAAGCCCCTATTTAGGCCAGAAGAGCAAACAGGAAGTTGTCTGTACAACTGAGCTCCACCCTGCCACAGACAGCTTGCTTGGTGTTTACCTTTTTGCCTTCTGCTCCCGACCTCCTGGTATCCTGACTTGGCCTGACTCTTGGTAACTGCCTTCTGGTTCCTGCCTTTTGATTCTGTCACCCGATCCAGACCTTCTGGCATCATGACTTGGCCTGATTCCTGGTGACTGATTCTTCATCCCTGCCCTACAGTTTCCTTCGATTCTGATCTCCTGGCATTCCAACCTGACCTGAGTCCTAGTAATTGGCTCCTGGCTGCTCAGCCCGTGCTTGATGCTCACTCCTGTAAGCCAGACCACTCATGCCCTGGCCCTGACACAATTCAGTCCTGAATGAAATGTTCACTCAGTGGTGAAAGCCATCCTGGGAGCTGTTTGCCTCCCAGACAAACAAGAAGTTCAATCTGTACTGCTCCAGAACAGCAATAAGTTGGGACTCCAAAGCTGATGCCCTTCTGCAATCCTGGACAGGCCACCTGAGGTACGGCCGGTCCTCCAATCCACTGTAAAAGATTCATCCCAACAAAGCTCAAGTCAGTCTCATTGCACCCAATTGGCCCAGATAGTTCAGGTTTCTGGACCTCTTATGAATATCAGCCCTTCCTCCCATCAGTATCTGAATCTTCCCAGATCAGACATCCCAACTCAGACTCTGCGCCTCATGGCCTGGTATTTGGATGGGTGTCAGGTTAGCTCTAGAGCATTCACATTCAGAGACTGTTTGAACTAACCTCAATCATAGCAGAAAAGTCTCCACCAGCAAAGGCTATCTAGCTAATGGGAGTATTTCTCTACCTGGGTGCAACAGAGTCAGTTATCCCCCAAATCAGCAGGTATTCCTGCTATTTTAGACTTCTGTACCTCCCCACCCTCAAGACATTGAGACTTTTCATTAGCTCGCTATGGGTCCACCTAGCAGCAATCAGTGCCTTCCATTCTCTGGTACAGGGCTAGCCAATTTTTATTCACCCGATAACAAACAGCTTCCTGACGGGTCTCAATAGGACCTTCCTGTCAGTAATGAAACCAACACTGCAATGGGACCTCAATCCCATACATGCAATATTTACCAGGCCACCCTTTGAACTGCTGGCCACTTGCTCGATGTGATTGCCTCTGCACGAAGGGCGCCTTCCTCAACACCATTAAATTAGCCAGGAGGGTGAGTGAGCTGAGAGCACTCCTGGCCAATTCACTGTATATCACATTTCACCTTCAACCAAAATTCATCCCTAAGGTAATTTCTGAGTGTCACATAAATCAATCTATTCACTTACCAGTATTCTTCCCAAAACCTCTCTCTCCTCATTGGAAGCATGAGAAGACTTCATTCCCTCGACATATGATGGGCTCTAGAACAAAACCAATTAAGAAAAGGCCTAAACTATTTGTCTCTACAGCCGTGTTCATGGGGACTAGTGTTGTCTGCTCAGAGACTCTTTAAGTGGATCTCTGGATGTATCACTCTTCATCAGTAGGCATGCTTTCCTCCCCCATGACAGGTTGAGGGCTCACTCCACTAGAGCACAGGCAACTTCAGTAGCATCTCTTCAGGAAGTACCTATACTGGACATTTGTAAGGCAACAACCTGCAGTTCCAGCCATACTTTCATGAAGCATTAGTCCAGACCTCTTCTGCAGATGCAGCAGTTGGGACAGCAGTATTACAGACTGCATCCTCATACCCAACATACCAACTGCATCTTCATGCCTGCTCCAATTTGACAACTGCTTACCAGTCACCCACATGTGGAATACACCACAGGGACCAGCACTTGAAGGAGGAGAGGGTATCTACCCATAACTGGGGGTTCTTCAAGATGTGTTCCCTATCTGTATTCCCCTACCTGGGGGATGTAGTCACATACAGGGGAATGGCAAAATCAGCAAGAGGTCATCCTGCCTCTTGAAACAAGGTCATTGAGCTTTGGAAGACAGAAGCCATCTTTGCCATCCATCATTAGACAGATACAAGGGAACAGAGCTCTTGCAAACTGAGACAGATGGGTCCTTCAACCACGGTGAGGTTGAAGTCTCTGGAATATAGGTGAGAAATTATCTTGAACAAAGCCTGTGCCTTGCTAGATTAAGTTTTAGACTTTTAGATGTGTGTTTTCCCTTGTATTTGCTTGTAACCCGTTCTAACTTTATTCATTTTACTTGGCATCATTTAATCTATGTCCTATTGTTAATACATTTGTTTTATTTTTACTATAAACCGACTCAGTGCTGTGTTTAATGGGAAGGGTGTATTTACTGCAGTTAAGTTAATAAGCAGTGATGTGCTTTTGTGTCTTTAGAAGAACAAACAAAACTTATTATTTCTCTGAACTGTCCAGGAGAGGACTGGACATTGCAAAGTGCACAGTTAGGGGAAAATTTGGGACTGGGAGTGTGTTGAGCACAGGCACTGGCTTCTATTTTCCCCGGGGTTGCTCAACCCCCACTCAGCCCCAGACCCTGTCCCCACTCCACGCTTCCCCCAAGGCCCAACCCTGCCTATTCCTGTCCCCCCTCCTGCCCCACCCCTTCCCCACCCCATTCTGCCCCTTCCTTTGAGCGCATCCTGTCCCCACTCCTCCTGCTCCCTCCCAGCGCCTTCTGTACGCTGCTGAACAGCTGTTCCACAGCACATAGGAGGTGCCGGGAGGGAGGGGGAAGGGTTGATCAGCAGGGGCTGCAGGCAGGCGGAAGTCAGGGAGGAGGGAGGAGAGCTTGTCTGCCAGTGCGTGCTAAGCACCCGCTAATTTTTTTCCATGGGTGCTCCAGCCCATGGAGTCACCACCTATGGTGTTGGGGTTACCCTGCAAACAGTAACCAAGGCTGGTGGAAGTTAGAGTGGGGCTGTGGGGCTATAGACAGGCTGCTGGGGTCAGAGTTGCTGAACTAGGGCTGTCTAGCACAGACACTGAGGGTATGACCTGCAGGCTTGTAATCTGGTTATGAGTATCCCAGGTTTGGAGCTACAATAGCAAAGCACTGTAAGGCACCCAGGATTGTAGGGCAAGTGGTGATACAACCCCTCACTGCTCTGGACTGCACCCCAAACTCTGTGACAGGTGACTCCACAAGACCTTTCAGCAGTGACCACTTTGGAAGTAGGTGTTGGTAATGCACAGTCCTCAGTGGGTGCAGAGCTCCAGTAATCCCATTGTCATTTGTTTTTCCCACTCCACTGTGACCAATGCATAGCAGTCACATCTCGTGATCCAGGGCAGCTGTTATACTGAAGTCTTCCAGCAAATAGTTGCTCATCTGATGGTAGCTTACTGATGCGCCTGCTGAGTTACTGATAGAATAGGTCCTTCTCTTCAGAGGTGGAGGAAAGTGTTGGGGGATATGTACTGATGATGCCGGAAAAGCCACCTGTGCTAGAGAGCCTTGGTGATAGGAAAGGTTCTGATGTTTCAACTGGACGTTCAGCTCTGGGCGTTAATGAGTTTTTGACTGCAAACCCCACCCTGCATTCAAATTCTTCATTGATGTCAAGCATGTCCAGCTCTCTGTCAATGATGGTGGTCCTTCTAAGTCATTGACCGCCTCTAGTTCACTTAACATACCAGTACACACTATCCTCACATTCCAACAAGCAAGTTTGAAGAGGGCGACCACCATACTCGAGCCTTCAGTGCATATACGTTGGCAGAAAAAAAATATGGGGGCAGAAGCTTGCCTTAAGACCAAAGCCCCTCTCTCCGTGGTACTGACTGGGGCCAAAGGCTTGGAGACCAAGACGTTTGGAAGTGAGCACAGCTGCAGGAGATGTCAGAGGGCAAAGCTAAGTTGCAGTGCCAACTGCTTGACATTTTTTACACAGCAGATTAGATTCCGGGTTTTCTCCTCTCGCCTTTGTTCAACCAAGAACTAGCCGCAAGGCAGCAGGGCCAGACGTAGTTATTCCTTTGCGCACATTGTTTTTCATTCCAGTGGGTGCTAGGCACAGCCCTCATCACTCAGAGAGTGGCAGCATTCCCAATTTAGTCAGAGAGCTGCTGACCCATATCAGGTTGTTCTAGGTTATGTGGGATGAGCAGCAAGCCTTGCATACCTGACCTGACAAATGCTAGCAGTAGGTGCACACACAGACCTTTATACAAAAGAAGAACCAAATACTTCCAAGCTGTCTCTTCACAGTGACAGGCACATTATTAGAAGTCCCACAACCAGAGCTGGTCACTGTTCAACATGCAATGTGGCCTCTCCTAGAAGCTTCATTGTGCTAGGTGCTGTACAGACCCACAGAAGAGGACAATCCTCACAGTACCCAGGTCAGTGCTTTCGGGTGGAGTTTGTTGCCCACTTCAACTCTGGGCTCAGATTCAAGTGGTATCCTTTCCCCAAAGGCTGGTAACCCCTTTGAAGGCTCTTACATTGGACTTACCTCTTGAGAACACCCACCATGTCCTTAGGTCTCATTACAGCCACCTGTTTGGTGTTACTGAGGTACCTGAGATGTATTTTGATGAACCCAGAGCATGGCTCGCTCTCCTCCCTGACGTGGGTCACTTGCAGAGTTCCTTGGCTCTCTTGATCCAGAAGCTCTTGGGTGCTGAACAACATCCTTTTGGGCAAGCTTGTATGTACCCAAGCAGACAATCAAGGCTGGAGTCAGAGGCACTGCCACTGCATTCCTGTTCAACTGCAGGGCCCAAGTCAGATGCAGCATCCCCTTCCTTTTCTGCATTTCCATCTGCACTGTTAGTGGCCCAAATTATTAGCTATTACTGTGACAAAGTATTAGAAATGTAAGACCAACATATAGTGGAATATGAAATGTACATGTAGCATAAATGCAATGGATCAGATTTATCCCTGGTGTAAACCAAAGAAACCATTAATATAATCAGTTTAGTGCATCCATTTAAAACATTATTTTTGATGTATGTTATATACCTTTCAGTTAATCAAACTAGATTACAAAATTATTAAAGATTAGAGCAGACAGGCTACATTAATGATGAACAGCTATTTCAATGTTCACACAGTTTTTTAAAAAAATCTTATAATTTTCTACCACCACTTTGTGCTGTAAATATTTTTCCTTTTATTTAAATCTGCAGCCCACTGAAAACCCCTCTGAAGCTACTGGATGTTTCTAACTGCGCCTTGAACCATGCTGACATGGCCTATTTAGCCAATAGCCTCCATTCTAACCACCTGGAAGTACTGGACCTCAGTGGGCACAATGTGGCTGACCTTTACCCATCAACCTTCTTTAAACTTCTCAGCCACTGCTCTTATACTCTGAAGATGCTCATCCTTGAGGAATGTAACATTCAAGACATTCATGTAAATATGTTGATTTTGGGTTTGAACCCCTGCCGGAAGCTACAAGAATTCAAGTTCCTTGGAAATCCCCTGTCATCCCGAGCACTTAAATGCCTCTTTAATGTTTTTAGTGACTTGCCGATGCTGAAATACATTGAGTTCCCAGTTCCTAGGGACTGCTATCCTAACAATGTCACCTACCCAATTGATGATGCTTATCTTTCAAAATTTGATCACCAAAAATATGAGAGTGTATCAGAGGAACTTAATAATATTTTACTTCATGCAAACCGGGAGGACATAAAGACTTCAACACCACTCTTCGGAGGCTATGACGCAGCCATTCAAGAGACTGGCAATGAACTGGGATCTTACTTACTGAAATCTTTCAAAGATACTTTAGAAAACTTTAACAAAGCTCTTCAAGAAATGAATTAAAATGTAGTGGTGATGACTGCTCTGCCTAACAGAGAGTAAATTCAATATACACTAGGAACTTCAAAACACTGCACATCCATTTCTGCTTTCGCTGATTTCTGGACTGTATTTGGTTTTATTTCTGGAGCTACAGTATAGCATATGCATTTTTAATCGTGCTATGAATTGCAAGTATGAATGTAAAGGCCACTTTCTGAGAACTCCTTTAATCACTGCATACTCTGCACAAAAGCACAGCTTTGGTTCCAGTTACTGCAGTAAAACAAGGTATGACTGTATTTCACCTGCAGTATGACCTAGCCATATTTTTTAATTTACCTAATAACGATGGGCTAATTTGTGCCCTCCTGCAAATAAACACATTGAGAGGGACCTTAGGAGGAACTAAACTCCACTAATTTCCTCTGACAAAGTTTTATCTAAATTTGGCTGTGGATTTGCCCCCCATGGCAGAGGTAGGGATTCCAATCCCCAAATCCTGCACGCCCCCAAGAATCGTGTGCTGGAGGCACAGGGCCATCCCTGCACAGGTCCTTCTCTGAATTAGCTATCTCCATTGTAGCCACACTGCCCTGTCCCCTCAAGATCCGGGGTAGTGCAACTGCAATAGAGATGAGCAGCCTAACTGGTAGCCGCCCCTGGAGCCCACCTTTAAGGAGGAGTTCCATAGTGCAGAGTTGACTCCAATCAAAAGATAATACAACTCCTACCCATATTAACTCCTGAGTGTATGTTCCAGTGGGCTTGAGGGGATGGGGGTGGAGATGATGTGCACCCTGTAGTCCTTTTTCTTTCTATGTATGGACCCCAGAACCCATAGGTAGGTCTCCTTGAGGTTTGGAGGAAGGGGAGGCAGGGTGCTACTCAGACAGCTGACCCTCCTTTCACATGTGGATGCAAGAAATTCACACAGAGCCCCTCCATGCCTGGATCCTAGAGGATTAAAAGGCCCTAAATACAGTAACTGTATGATTGCATTCTTCATACGAGCAATGCTGAGGTCTGCAGAAAAGGACTTAGGGGTGACAGTGGACGAGAAGCTGGATATGAGTCAACAGTGTGCTCTTGTTGCCAAGAAGGCCAATGGCATTTTGGGATGTATACGTAGGGGCACTGCCAGCAGATCGAGGGACGTGATCGTTTCCCTCTATTCGACATTGGTGAGGCCTCATCTGGAGTACTGTGTCCAGTTTTGGGCCCCACACTACAAGAAGGATTGAAAAAATTAGAAAGCATCCAGCGGAAGGCAACAAAAATGATTAGGGAACTGGAACACATGACTTATGAGGAGAGGCTGAGGGAACTGGGATTGTTTAGTCTGCGGAAGAGAAGAATGAGGGGGGATTTGATAGCTGCTTTCAACTACCTGAAAGGGGGTTCCAAAGAGGATGAATCTAGACTGTTCTCAGTGGTAGCTGATGACAGAACAAGGAGTAATGGTCTCAAGTTGCAGCGGGGGAGGTTTAGGTTGGATATTAGGAAAAACTTTTTCACTAGGAGGGTGGTGAAACACTGGAATGCGTTACCTAGGGAGGTGGTGGAATCTCCTTCCTTAGATATTTTTAAGGTCAGGCTTGACAAAGCCCTGGCTGGGATGGTTTAGTTGGGGATTGGTCCTGCTTTGAGCAGGGGGTTGGACTAGATGACCTCCTGAGGTCCCTTCCAACCCTGATATTCTATGATTCTATGATCTGCAGACCAGCCCTCAGATGAGAAGTGCAGGGTGTGTTCAAGTTAAGGTAGTTTTTTCTGCTTTTCTTCTGTATGATGATAATACAGAATAATTAAATGCAACTATAAAAATCAGAGGGGCATCTACTCTCAATAATCCCACTTTTTTGAGATTTACAGGTCTCTGGCCCTTCCTGCATGCACACAAATAACAAATAAAAATTATTTTTATCTATGGTCTGTGTATTAATTAATTCAAATCCACCATACATGCAAATCAAAATAAAAAGAAAAGAAAAGCTGCGTGGTTCCTCACCCCATACAGGAGGAGCAGCCCCCTGCATGTCCTCCCCTGAGTGCAGGTGCAAAGACTCATGGGGACAGGGGGTGGAGGTGGCTGAGTGAGGGCAGAAGGGACACATGGGGGCAGAGGGAGTAGGGGTGCTGGGACATGGGCAGATGTGCCTGACCGCATGGGAGAGTCTAGGGGCCAGCCAGGGTCTGCATGGGGAAGGTTCCCCAATTCCATAACAATTGTTCCTCTACCCCCCAAAAGCCTGTTCCATACTTCTCCCACCCATACCCAACAACCCTCCAAGTTCACACCCAGCTTCCTTCCCAGCAATTAATGCCCTCTCCCTCAGCTCCTCTGTTACCCCTAACTCCCCAAAGCCTTTGCACTGCTTCTGAAGGGTGTGGGAAATACATTTCTGTATCGTAGTTTTAATGAATTATTACTCAAGTTCTGTATTAATATGCCTAGAAAGGAATCTGTTTGTAACAAAAACATTTTCTGAATCTTTTTTGTTGTCTGTATTGTGGCAGACATACTTGTTGACAGGTATTTTGAAATAAATTACCAAAATAATTGAAATTGGCATGATTATATTGTTATAATATAATATATTGTTGACAAGTAAATATGCAGAATTTTAAAATATCATGCATAGAATTTTTATTTTTTTGGCGCAGAAATTCCCCAGGAATAGATTGTACTGAAGACATAGCCTCAGTGACTCACCTTAGTCACCCCTATTGTTTTTAGTTCCTGAGGGAGCTGTTGTAACCCTCCCCCCAGAAGTAGAACAGAATCACACATAAACCATTCATAAATGTAATACAATGGTCCCCAAAGATAACACATGGGGCTGCAATATCTGTCACAAGTACTACTCACATCTGTTCAGCATGCTGCTTCCACGCCCATGCGCACACATCAGAACATTTTCAGGGCTCCAAAGGCCCCAAGTGACCGTACCTACTACCAAATCCCTCTCTTCAGCTCCCTGGCCCATCATGGCTACCTCTCCATTTACCTCTATTACTTCATCTCCAGATAGAATTCTATCAAAGTTTCAAAGAAATTCTGATCCCTAAGCTGTTAGGCATTTACAAAGATCCCTTAAAGAAGGGTAAGCTACCTCCTACTATGAGCAATGTCCTAATTCCTGTACTACTTAAACCTAGTAAGGATGTGCAAAAAATTAACAGTTGTAGACCCATCTCTTTAATCAATACTGGATGGATTTTCTGTAACTTGAAGTCTTTAAGTCATGATTTGAGGACTTCTGTAACTCAGCCAGAGGTTCGGGGTCTATTACAGGAGTAGGTGGGTGAGATTCTGTGGCCTGCAATGTGCGGGAGGTTAGACTAGTTCAGCAGTTCTCAACCTGCAACCCAATTAGCACACAGCTGAGGCCCTGAGGTAAGGGCAGAAAAGGGTGCTGAAGCCACATGGGAAGTGGCCTGGGACAAAGGACTGTAATTGCCACTGAGGTAGTCGCTGGACGGAGATTGCAGGTCTACCAGAATGGCGGAACACAGAATGTGGAAGAGTCGGAGGGCAGTGTCACTGAAGAGCACCCTGCAGTCCTGGGAGTGGCTCAGGTCCTGGAACGGAAGTGACAGCGCCGAGACACCACCAGAAGAGGGCGCTCTGGCAAGTGGAGCTAATTCCTATGACAACTGGCAGGAGACGCTAGAGTGGTGAGTCCCACCCCGTCACAATTCCAAACCCAACTCTCATATCCTAACAAATATCATCCCCCTTTGATCTATTTCAGGGAACTAGACAGGGATGCCCCCCCCCATTCAGTCTAACATTAGAACCACTAGCAGTATTAATCAGGGAACTTCAAGATATTCAAGGCATCAAATCAGGGACTCAGGAGACAAAAATCCTTCTATAGGCAGATGACAGCCTCCTATTTATTAAAAAGTCAGATCAATCTATTCCAAATATCCTACAAACAACAGATAACTTTGGTAAATTCTCTGGTTACAAGATAAACTGGGATAAGGCAGAAGCAATGATCTCATCATATTTAGTTGGAAGTGCATCTCCTATAGAGACATTTAGCTGGCAACAGACAAACCTCAGATATCTTGGCATCCTGTTTCCTAAGGAAGCTAAAAACTTAGTCAATGTTAACCTTGCTCCATTAATCATGCAGTTAGCAAACTATTTAAACAGATGCCAGGCACTACCTCTTTCCCTTTAGGGAAAAATAAACATGAATACTCCTCCCAGGATCATTTTTATTCTGAATTTCCTCCCTATCCATATTCCTCCCTTTTATTTTACCAAAATCAACAACATGTTCAGGTCCCTCTTGTGGAGTGCTGGCAACAAACCCAATGTCCTTACAAAGATTACATTTCCCTGTCCAAGCAGGAGGCTTCAGATTTCCCAGCTTTAAACTTTACCAGGCAAAAATTCTTAGCCAAGCAGCATAGTGGCTCATCCCCTTGTCCTGTAAAGCCCCGGACTGGCTCCAGCTGGAAGCAGAATTGGTTGCTTCCTTTCCAATATACTGCACTTGGATTACTACCAATTCCCTAAAGAATGATTACCAACTATTGAGGAAGCCAGAAATACTTGGTGTACAATTGTGATGTTCCCCTCTGGTGTTGTCTGGACCAGTGATCTGTAAGGTCACTTCAATCCTCGACTCTGGGAGCCAGACTTACCCTGCTGTGCTGTGAGAACCCCCACTCCTGGGCTCTGGTATGTAAGCTGCTCCTTGGATTGTGCAACCAAATGATACTAGCAAATATCTCCGGTCCCAGACACAACCACAGGAACTTCCGTCTTGCAGTGTCCAGTTATGCCCGCTGGATGCTGCAAATTTATATGAGTTCATCAATTTAACAAAGAAATTGATATGTACCAGGTTTGTTATCCCAAGGGGAGTCTCTGACATGCTTCAAACCAAACACACTGCTTCAGGTAGAATAAACAAACACATTTATTAACTACAAAGATAGATTTTAAGTGACTATAAGTCAAAGCATAACAAGTCAGATTTGGTCAAATGAAATAAAAGCAA